TGCTGTGTAACCTAGAAGAGCTCATGTAAAGACACCATTTGTTGTTTAGAAAGAATGATTTTCCAACACACGAGGACAATGTTTTGAGGTATATCTCCTATTCTTAAAGTATATGTATAGCTAAAACTTTTGTTTTTGTTTTGCATAAAGTATGGAGGGCTATACACCCCCTTTTTAAATGATTGTCTGTGTCCTGTTGGGGGGATTTTCCTTCACGCCCTGTCCCACAGACCCAACAGCAAGTAAGAGAACATAACTCCAAAGAGAATGAAAACAGGTGTCTGCATTAAAAATATATATCCCTCACCTCCTGTTCTCGTGGCAACTGTAGCATTTGGATTTCCTAATACTTTCTGTCTCAGTGACAATGGTCACCAGGCTTGATACAGACGGTGCATGTTGCCAGCGGGGGACAGACAGCTATAGAAACTGGATATGATAGATAGATAGATAGATAGATAGATAGATAGATAGATAGATAGATAGATAGGTTCTAATTCTTCTCTACTCTGTCCAAAGCTAAAAAAAAAAAAAAGAAGCTTTTGGCTATGCACTCACTTTAATATCTCCCATTCTTAAAAAATGATTGACATTCTCCCAGGGTATGAGCACCCATAGGGCAGATAACATCTCATCAAGATTGTGTACATTAAATAGGGTACATTGTTCTTTATTGTGCTCTTGTAATTATTCTGCATGGTAACGCTACAACATGTAAATTAACATGCATGCTCCGTGTTTCATAAACATCGTTTTCTCTGTTTTTTCTATTCTTGTTTGTCTGTACTTTTAAGCCTCTGCACTGCACTGGACACAACATGGATTGTAAAACTTTACATAATCAAGCTACTGATATTTTTAAGTGCTATCGGGATGTAGTAATGTGTAATCCATTATTACTACTATATATACCAAGAATAACTGTGTCCAGACTATGAGCGTTCAAATATTTACCTATACTTAACAAGCAGTAAATACGTTTTACTAACCTTTGTAGTAGCAGGCTCAGAGGAGTAATTCATCCTCAAAGTTTACAGCAGCATCCTTTTCAATTTCATCTCAGCAGCTGAGCTCACTCTGCTCCATGCTCCCAGCAGTGACTTGAAAGCCTGCCAGCTTTCTTATCTATAATGTAAACACAGAGCTAGCACTCTGGTAGGTTAGAGAGCAGAGTGTTGAGACACCATTTAGGCAACTAACGATGAATTGCTCCGCAGTTTCTGAAGCTACAGAGGTCAGTAAAGGTTTATTTTTTTTGCTGTCTGTGTCATATTGGGAAAATGTCCTCATACTTCCTGTACTGTAGAAACAAATAGGAAGCAATGGGGGCTGATTTATTAAAGAAGTGGATAATCTTCACACTATAAATGGTATCTTCACTTAGATTACCCAGTCATGATTTATTTTATGTATTGCTTGTTAAGAATATGAGAATATTTGAGCTCTGATAGCCTGGTCACAGTTCTGCTTTAAGATGAACCTATGCTGTACCCATGCAGGGCAAAACAAGTTGCTTTAGTGCCACTCCTCTTCAGCTGTTTAAAACTACCTACTCTTTACTTTTCTGCTGCTCAGTTTGCCCGCAAAAAGAAAAGAAGCCCTGTGTACGCACCAAATTCTTTTGGGTTGTACTCTCTCTTCATTTCCCACGTGACAGTGCCAGAGCTTGGCGATTGGCTGCTAAGACACACAGTGCTGCATTGTGAGATGAAGGGGAGTGAGTCCCATGTTACCCATACCTGAAGGTATCAGGTATTTCTTCTCGCTTCAGGAAGCCAAATAGAATAACAAAGGAATGAAGTAAAAGTGAGTATATGCGGGGGAGGGCAGGCATTAAGTGAAACTGACTCTGTGCCTTGAAATAGAAAGAAGAAGAGGAGAGAAAAGAGCTTTGCCCTGCCACTCACATGCTAGTAACTGGCCTCTGAGTCATGCGGCCTCTCCATTACCCTTGCATTTGTGTTGCGTTGCTTTATTGCTGGCATTAGGTCTAGCATGGAATTAGCTACTGGCAGTGCTGTCCATTGTGCAATTGTGGTCTTTGATATATCAGAAGTGATATTTCTAAAAGCACTGCCATTTATCTCTTATAAGGGAAAGTGTCTCCTGATAGCCCACCTTCCCAACAAGGTATACCCACCTTGCCTTGCCACCTACCCCCTCCTTCCACACCATTAGAGCCTTCACGCCAATGCTGTAATGGAGTGGGGCTTCCTTTTATGGGGGAGCATATGACTTTCCCCATATGATAGTGCTTTGAGCTGAGTGCCCAATCACCTTGCTCAAACACTTTAACATGGGAGGTGCTTGCTAAGAGGGTGGGTGGACTATAAAGAGCATTGTTTCTCTGTTGTGAATGTGCAGGTGACAATGTCTCTATACAATATTGGATGTTCTGATTTTTTTTGATTGTGCATTTAGGGGAATTTAGGGGAAAATTATATACTTACTACATACAGTATATAAAGAGAGGGAGAGAGTGTAAACTGATTTAGTGCAGTTTTTGGTTGAGTATAGGGAAACTAGGCTCTTAAAACAACAAAGTAGGGAGAAATGCTGATGTTTAAGGAACACTGTATGCCTAAACTATATGTTTATTTGAGTTGTCTTTTGTGTTTTGTATAGGACTAATATGTTGTTTCAGTCTTGCTGCTATTCTCTTTAAGGAAACTTGTAATGAGAAAAATGTAAATGATGCCATTGCTGACCTCTATCAAGTCTCCTGTCTGTTTCATTCTTTGATGTTTTCTGAGTCACTTCTTCAGAGCAAGTATGCCAATCAGGAAAATTAGAATGAAGTCAGGACTTCTTGTCCTGGGTTAGCGACTCAAAGTACTAAAGTCATTGGATCAGCATAACAGCCAGGGAAGTAGCATTATCAGAAGAGGTCAGCATTGGCAGCCTTCATACATCTGTTTACTTTCATCCTTAATGATATAAATGAGAGTCAATGTCTACAACTTTAGCTACTGAGCTATCTGCTAACTATATGTTTTATGGCAGCGTCTACTCATAGGTGCCAACCTTGATTTGTCTTAACAAATATGGAAATGTCTACATGATTGAAATTACCATGACATATAGCTTGTAATTTACTTCTCTGCTAATGATATATTACTATTATTAAACCAGTGTTTCTCAAACGGTGGGGCAGACCTTCCTTCGATGCTCAATGTTACACAATGGACAATACAGTGGAGCTAAAAAAACAATAGCACAAGTCCAATAATATCTTGTTTGAATGATTGGTATGAACACAGCTTCACTAAATAAAATAAAAAATATACACATATTTGTGTTTAAATATATCTAGATATCTCTTTCTATATATATATATATATATTTCAGAAGAGGCACTAGGAGGTACCAGCTTTGGTTTTGCTACGTTTGTCTCAGCATAGTAATGATTGTTGACAGAGGCCAGACATGGTTCCTTGTGGTAATGAGCTTGTGAGGTCTGAGAATAAAAAAAAAGTTTCTGAACAACTGGTTTAAATTGTGCATTTATTTATAACTGATTAGGGATTTGTACAGGTCATGGACAGTTAACAAGCATTGTTACTTTTTGAAAGGATGAATATATGAGCAAATAAATGACACATCATTATTAATTGAATATGTTGCTAACATTTTGTAGACAAAAATATTATAAACTGTATGAGATAGTGTGGCCTACATCATCTGCAGAATAAAAAAACAGATTTTATGTTACACTTATTGGTGCGATGGTGTGCCAATCATTCTGAATGGCACCCCAACATACGTTGCAGATGAACATGCATTTCGGTCGCTGCACTGCCAAAAATTTTACATACACCTTTTTGGTGCATTAGGCATTCCATTCAAATGAATAGGCTACCCTAATGCAACACACGTTAACATGTATGCACTATTGCAATACAAAAGTGTGTATGGGCCATGAAGTCAGCACCCCAGATCTGTACACTTCCAGGTCAATTCCTCAAAAAGTTTTGAAACAGTTGTAATAGGATGACAACCAGGAAACTGTCATTTTTTAGAAGCGGAGATCAGCAATGGCAGTTTTTCTGTAATAGAAAGATTGTAATGGATTTCATTTTTTCTATAGATGTGAATGTCTTTATATTTGTTGATTCCATGACTAGTTCAACCCCCTAATCTTTATAAAACTGAGAAATGCATTATGTAATCAAAGGACTCAGATATTCAAAATCTATTTTACTGATCTCATCCATGAAGCATGCAAACTGCATAACCCAGCAAGCAAGGATATTGCTTTCCCGCTGCTGCTTGGCATTTGATGGAAATATTTAAACTTAATTTTAACAAAACAAGCGTGAAATATATTTGTGAATATGAGCCTGTATATATGTATGACCTGTTTATATGACATGCTTTCTCTGCCAATGCTGTTAAGAATGAGAAATTTGCACTTTAGAGGAGCATGCAATGGTATGCCTTGTTTTGTAAGTTATTATACAATTCCATATAGTGCAATGTTTGTTTCCTGGAGATAAATGCCTAATATGACCAGTTGTACAATCTGGAAATGCATACTCTTCCTTGCAGATTTCTATGTGTTTTCTGTTCATATATGGCTTCACTATACCAGAGTAAACATATGTACACTAAGTAAATTATGCCTTTGCAGCTTGATTTTATGGACATTTTGTTGTGCAAACCATACTCCATTGTTAACTAGATCTTACTACAGCCTACAGTGTCCGAAGTTAGATACTTACCATCCACTATGTGTCGCCATAGTTATTTTAATATTCTGCTTGTGCAGGGTTGCATGTGCTAGATAATACATTTGACTCACAAAGCTGATTTTTGCTTTTTTCCTTTAAAGCTTTAAAAAATGAAATCAGATGCAATCATTTACAGATCTCCCTTGTATTAATTAAACACAGTTCACTGTATAAAATCAAGCTGAACAGGCCTGTTTGCCTTGTCATGATCAATGTTAATTTATCATTCTTTTAGTATGATAAACTAATTATACAATATTCTGCTTTAAGGTTGTAGTAAACGCCTTAATTGGAGCTATTCCGTCCATCATGAATGTCCTCTTGGTCTGCCTCATATTCTGGCTAATTTTTAGCATCATGGGAGTCAATTTATTTGCCGGAAAGTTTGGGAAATGTGTTTACGCTGAGAACAAGACAGAAATTGATGCGTCTATTATAGAGAACAAAACAATGTGCGAGGCAATGAATTCCTCAGAAGTCTACTGGACAAAAGTAAAAGTCAACTTTGACAATGTTGGTGCAGGATACTTGGCTCTGCTTCAGGTGGTGAGTATTAATTTGATTTTTTTAAACATATTATTCATATGTTCTGTATTTTCCAAGACAGTCCCTGTTTCAAAGGGGCTTTTTCTGAATTAAAAATTTACCTGATAAATATATCCTGTGTTTACCTTTTTAGAACCAGATTCTTTTTTGCTGTTGGGATTGGTATTTTTTGTAGGTTTTTGTTTTGTGTCGATTTTACACCCTCTAAGTCTTTCCTAAAACATAACATATCTTTTTTTGGGCACAGTTGGGGCTTTGATTTAGAAGTAGATTTCATTGGATATATTTCGGCTCCTGGGCACCTGCCAAACCTGCTTACAGCCACTGAAACCAGCTATTAAAATGGTGCTGGGAACTTCAAATTTGTTTGGAATTTAGGTGGCTAAATACCCCAGTTATGTTCCTGCTAACTGTACAGTCCAGATAGCTATTCGAATATACAGTGTATGTATTGCGCAGGCTCATCTCAATGAATGTTTGAGTTTGCTGGTATTACCGGGAACCAAATAAATTGTAAAAAACAACCACTATATAGTACAGTTAACTATACAAATTCCCCTGGATTGGTCAATAACTTGAAAGCATACAGAACACTAGACATGTGCACTGGCAAAAAATTTGTTTTCGTTTCGTTTTGATTCGGATTTTGCGTTATTTCGTTTTTCGGGATTCGGGTCCAAAACTCAATTCGTTTCGGGATTTGGATTCGGACAAAATTCATTAGCGGTAGTCTGGACGCAATTTCGTTTGTTGGACGAAATTTCGTTGCAGCAAAATTACATTAGGAAAAATGTTTTTTTTTAGTCTGCAGAAGAAGGGGAAAAAAAGCATGAGGTTCCCCCCCCCTCAATTCATACCAGACCCATTAGGTCTGGTAGGAATGTTAGCAGGGACCCCCCAAGTTGAACTAAAAAAGAAAAGTGTGGGGCGTTCCCTCAAAATCCCTACCAGGCCCTTTAGGTCTGGTAGAAATTTTAAGGGGGAACCCCAGCCCCCAAAAATGGGGGGGGACGTGGGGGTCTCCCCTAACATTCCTACCATACCCTTGATCCAAGCACTGGCCCGGCAGGGCAGGAAAGGGAGGGACAATCGAGCACCCCCCCTGCACCTTAACAGGACACGTGCCCTCGGCATTGGGAGGGTGTCCCCATGCCAATGGGGACAAGGGCCTCTTCCCCACAACCCTGACCCAGTGGTTGTGGGGGGTCTGCAGACAAGGGGGCTTATTTGCATCGGGGTACCCCTTTAATTAAGGGGGCGCCCAGATGCTGCCCCCCCATGTGAATGAGTAAGGTTACTTGTACCCCTACCCATTCACTAAAGGGTTAAATCAAATAGTTATTATAAAGTCCAGACTTTTGACATGACTTGCCAGAGGCAGTTTGCCTACTCCTGGTCTAGAAGCATTGTATGTTAATGAGAGGAAACTCAGTATCTCCCTGGTCTTTGTATGGGAAAGGGTTTTTAATTTTTTTAGAGTAGCTTGCAGTCTGCACAATGACCTGCTCCAAAGAAACAGATAAGATTTTTTCACATTATTTTTAGGTATGCTGCGTGAATGGGAACACATAGATGTGTAGTGGGGTTGTCTCAAATTTGACTGCAAAGGTGGAAATACATTTTAAGATTTCCAAATCAATACTGCTTTGCCTGACCATTGTATATAAGGTTTTCTTTTACTATTCATGCAGTTATGTGAGCTGAGGTGTCATATAAAAGCATTATGGCACCTCGGCTCACAGACCCGAATATCATTCTGAAACTCATGAATAGTATTCGGGAGTTTCCGAATGCTATGTAGCTATGTAGCTCCGCCCATCTGTTGACATTCGGGCTGAATGTCATTTTGCAGCGACTTTTCGTCGGGTTCGGGTGGTCGTCGTGCCGCAGGACTTTTTTTTATTTCGGCGGGGGACGTGCATCGTGATTGACGCTGGATTACATCAATGGAGCTATTTTTTTTTTAATTAAAGGAATAGTAAAAAAATTACTCTTTGTTTTTTTTTACAATTAAAGGATTTTATCAAAAGTCTGGACTTTTTAATAACTATTTTATTTAACCCTTTAGTGAATGGGTAGGGGTACAAGTACCCCTTACTCATTTACAAGGGGAGGCGGCTTCTGGGTGCCCCCTTAATTAAATAAGCCCCCTTGCCCGCAGACCCCCACAACCACCGGGTCAGGGTTGTGGGGAAGAGGCGCTTGTCCCCATCGGCATGGGGACACCCACCCGATGCAGAGGGCACGTGGCCTGGAAAGGCGCAGGGAGGGGGTGCTCGATCGCCCCCCCCCCTTTCCTGCCCTGCCGGGCCAGTGCTTGGATCAAGGGTCTGGGAGAAATGTTAGGGGGACCCCACGCACTTATTTTTTTGTTTAAACTTGGGGGGTCCCTCCTAACATTCCTACAAGGCCTAAAAGGTCTGGTATGAATTGGGGGGAACCTCACGCTTTTTTTTTCCTCTTCTACAGACTTAAAAAATTCTTCAAAAATGTTTCTAATGTCATTTTGTCGCAACGAAATTTCATCCAACAAACAAAATTTCGTCCAGACTACCGCTAACGAATTTCGTAATCAGAAATTCGTATTAGTTTGCATTCATTATATCTGGAATTTGGATACGTAAGAATGTCCGGAATTTCGTCCGAATTTCAATTCGGAACTTAACGAATCGCACATGTCTACAGAACTCAAATACCACCTTTTGAGAGAGAAGATGGTTAAAGAAGTTATGATTCAACCAATTTTGTTTAGATTGAGCCCAATGGCTTACTTTATTATAAATAGTATCAAAAATAATATAAAAATAGCACCATTACAAAAAATCCTCCATTATAATAGTTGACAAGGTTGTCAATCACCTCACATAAAAACCAATAGAGCATCCCTAAGATGTGCAACATTGTTTCAATCTATAGATGAAAGACATTTCAATGATCTAGTGGTTGCTGGATGTGTTACATGTTGTGGATATAAATAGAGATGGAGTGAGACTGCCATACGAAAACAGTATTTATTAACTGAACAGCATCAATTAAGGAACTTCTTTTTCATCTGTTGTTGTCTTTCTTTCTTTTTTTTTTGCACAATCTTTTTTTTTTTTAATAACAAATTTTTTATTTTGTTTGTTATACACAGAATACAATAGTACAGAATATTGGAATTAGGACAATGCAGTAGTAATAATAGTCAGTGAAGACTCGAAATTATATAGTTATCTGAACAATCGCATACATTATGCAGTTGTAGTCATGAACAAGCATCAAAAGCTGCTTACAATGAGACCTACGATGCATAACAGTGGTTAAGTAGCAGCAAGCACTATATATTTTCCGAAAATAAACTTCTCGTGGCTTACACTGATTTTGCACAATCTTTATATACTGCAAGTGGGAATTATTCACAGCAAAACTCTAATATGGAATATACTTACGTTCTATGAATTATAACAACATCTTAAATACAAAAGGAGTCTTCCCAGCAATTAGTGGTGATGGCCATCAGCTTTTCAAAGTGAGAATGAGACGAATGGTTGTGGACTGCTCTATTGGTTTTTATTTGTGAGGTGATTGACAACGTTGTCAACTTTTATAATGGAGGATTTTTGTTGATGGTGCCGTGTTTATATTATTTTTGATACTATTTATAATAAAGTAAGCCATTGGGCTCAATCCAAACAAAATTGGTTGAATCATATCTTCATTAACCATCTTCTCTCTCAAAAGGTGGTATTTTTGTTTTGTATGAATGGGAACCATAATTTGTTCCTGTGAACTGGCACTGGAAAAGGGAGGATTGATAGAAGAATGTTCTATCAACAGAGAAGCTTGAAAGCTAATAGAGTTAACATGGACCTTTTCCCCTTTTGACTAAAAATCACATCAGCATACAGCTCTGCATGCTGAAATGAAATTATCTTACATTCACTAGCTAAACAAACATATTTTTATTTTGCTTACAATTACTTTTCTCACTTCCTGGTCCACTTTGGCACAAATTATGTAATTGTGCCCAAGTATTGAATCCTGGGAAGGTTACATCAGCAGAGCATTGGTGTGAAATCTCATCTGTAATTTCACAAGATCTCAGGGAAAGGCATTTTTTCCCCTGAGATGATGTGCATGCTCATAGTCACATGTGCCAGAGTTCCAGGAAGTAAAGGGAGATCTAGTAACCTGCCCTTAGTTAAAATGGCCACTGTCAGAAGACTGGGAAGTAAAAGAAAAATACAGTATGCAAAAAAAATAAGCCGGCAACTATCTAGAAGTATCTGTTTGTAGATTGTCATTACTAAACATTCATTTTTAAGTTGTAAATGGCTAAATTCAGGGCTTTCAATGTGCAGAACAGAAATCTGAGGATAGCAATGCAGTGACAAAATACATATAAGGAAAACCTGTGTGTGGGAGATATCGGAGAACTAACTAGGAGGAGTTCCAGATAGATGGCCAAAAAGCCAAAATTGAGTTAGCCTTTCAGGACAAGGAAGTCTGCTCTGTCTATGTCGCCCATGCCTGTACAATCATACAGTCTTGATACATTAGACATAGGGGAGTGCATAACATGGTTTAGTTTGGTTAGCTTTCATGTTGGTGCATTTCTCCTAAGGAACACCAAGCCATCCTGTCAACAAGCCTAAACAAGGCACTGCAGCATGTGCTTAAAGTTATCTTTTAACATTTTGGATAGAGAATGGAAATGCTCAAATCCATCCCAGATTTTTATTGCCATAACTCCTTCCAGGGATCGCAGGCAAAGAATGGGTGTGCTTTAAACTTCAGAGTTTAGTGGCGCTAATTCACTAGCTGACATCTTGTAACTCTCATGGACTTCAAGTTATGCCCACTGGAGCTCTCAGCTGTGCCACCCTATTTATGCCTTGGAATTTAACCCTTACTTCTTGCTCCATAACATAAGGATGAGAATTGAGTATAAAGTGACTTCGTCACTGACTCCCTGAAACATGTATGCACCTGAAGGGTGATTGGACCTGCCAGAAACT